ACGAATACTCAGATGACATTCATCACATGAGAAATACTCTCATCAGCTCGTCTCCTTTCAAACATCGACAAACCACGTACACAGATTACTCCGCATCCCTATACACCACACACAGTTATCGCGACCTCACCTTACCACACCGCCTAGCCACAATTCGAAAACCACTCGCAACAAGAATTTTCTTCTCTCTTTATGTACCATGTACGCATACATTATATGAAAACATCTATCTGTCAGTGATTACGGTTACCAATGTGTCAGACACAAAACACATTGGTCGTAGATCCACTCATTCATATAGCCTGCGTCCTGTCACCGCGATTTTCACAACCGCCGTCACAAATACAGGCAGTAAAATCCACTCTATGTGAACCTAACGAAAAAATCATGTGACAACTTACCTATCTACCTACCTCACTTACATCAGATAACGAAAGACAATCAATCACATAACCGCAGATACTCACACTCAACCAGTCGACAATCAGTCACAAACACTCCATCACACAAATAACCACTAGACACATCACATAACACCACCATTACCATCATCAGGACAGATTCATCAACAACACATACACAGACTGACTCACTGACTCCCGGATAATACAAACTCCGTAAACACACTAAATACACTCAATATACACCTGTCTCCAGATCAACACAAACACTTTCCATCACCATTCACAAAAACGGGGAAAAAAATCATACACACAGCACCTCGTCATCATCATAATCCTCACGCACAATCCTCTTCCATTCAACACTCGCACAAACAAACATATCCTCCTCAGGCACTGACGAGCACGTCAAACACCAAACTAAATCTTTACCGATCCATACAACAACCACAAATACACCCAACACAGACACACACGTCTCCATCTAAACACCATCAAGGCCTATATGCATATGCATGTGATGAGTATACATAGACATCTATATATCCACGGACAACTTGCAACATATAGATCGGGGTGGAAATAACTACACACATACACAAAATCAGCATACATACACCACTAAACGAACGACGACATATGTATACCTGTACACACAACAACAAACTCTGAATAAACATTGAAAACAGTCGTGGTTTCACAATCATCCATAGCCAGCCTCAACACTAGCAGAGGCGCCAGCACCAGCACCAGCACACACACACACACACACACGTCATTATACAAACCACAGTCAGAGAAAGTCAACCAGTCCACCATACACAATACACGACATAGCACAATACAACACAATACGCTCCATATACAACTCACCACTCACATACTCTACTCATACACCTCAGTCACCAATCATTCTTGCCGTCCGAAAAAAAACCCACAACTCAACAGGCACTAACCACCAGTAATAAACAAACACACCCTCAAATTCAAAACCACAACGAAAACAAACAAATACTCTGCATCGAACAATCCCAAATCAGTCAACGCTTCGAAAACAAAACACAAACACCCACTCGATACATAATACATCCTACACCATCTTCAAACACTCACCTCAAACGAAATGCAAAACCATCAGTCAACTCAACTTAGATCAAAATACCACAATCTGTGAGACAAACACACACCACCACCACATTAATACAAGCCAACAACCACTGCATTGACACACACAAACACCAGCATCACTATTATCTCCAATCATCTTCACAACATTCCCGGGTAATTCCAGCTGGGTGCGACAATCCTATCCAAAAACAGCACATCATCCAATATCACAAACATAAATACACACACACACACACACACACACACTAAAACACCACCAGGACACTGAAATACAACAACTTCATCCATCCACAACGAATACTCAGATGACATTCATCACATGAGAAATACTCTCATCAGCTCGTCTCCTTTCAAACATCGACAAACCACGTACACAGATTACTCCGCATCCCTATACACCACACACAGTTATCGCGACCTCACCTTACCACACCGCCTAGCCACAATTCGAAAACCACTCGCAACAAGAATTTTCTTCTCTCTTTATGTACCATGTACGCATACATTATATGAAAACATCTATCTGTCAGTGATTACGGTTACCAATGTGTCAGACACAAAACACATTGGTCGTAGATCCACTCATTCATATAGCCTGCGTCCTGTCACCGCGATTTTCACAACCGCCGTCACAAATACAGGCAGTAAAATCCACTCTATGTGAACCTAACGAAAAAATCATGTGACAACTTACCTATCTACCTACCTCACTTACATCAGATAACGAAAGACAATCAATCACATAACCGCAGATACTCACACTCAACCAGTCGACAATCAGTCACAAACACTCCATCACACAAATAACCACTAGACACATCACATAACACCACCATTACCATCATCAGGACAGATTCATCAACAACACATACACAGACTGACTCACTGACTCCCGGATAATACAAACTCCGTAAACACACTAAATACACTCAATATACACCTGTCTCCAGATCAACACAAACACTTTCCATCACCATTCACAAAAACGGGGAAAAAAATCATACACACAGCACCTCGTCATCATCATAATCCTCACGCACAATCCTCTTCCATTCAACACTCGCACAAACAAACATATCCTCCTCAGGCACTGACGAGCACGTCAAACACCAAACTAAATCTTTACCGATCCATACAACAACCACAAATACACCCAACACAGACACACACGTCTCCATCTAAACACCATCAAGGCCTATATGCATATGCATGTGATGAGTATACATAGACATCTATATATCCACGGACAACTTGCAACATATAGATCGGGGTGGAAATAACTACACACATACACAAAATCAGCATACATACACCACTAAACGAACGACGACATATGTATACCTGTACACACAACAACAAACTCTGAATAAACATTGAAAACAGTCGTGGTTTCACAATCATCCATAGCCAGCCTCAACACTAGCAGAGGCGCCAGCACCAGCACCAGCACACACACACACACACACACGTCATTATACAAACCACAGTCAGAGAAAGTCAACCAGTCCACCATACACAATACACGACATAGCACAATACAACACAATACGCTCCATATACAACTCACCACTCACATACTCTACTCATACACCTCAGTCACCAATCATTCTTGCCGTCCGAAAAAAAACCCACAACTCAACAGGCACTAACCACCAGTAATAAACAAACACACCCTCAAATTCAAAACCACAACGAAAACAAACAAATACTCTGCATCGAACAATCCCAAATCAGTCAACGCTTCGAAAACAAAACACAAACACCCACTCGATACATAATACATCCTACACCATCTTCAAACACTCACCTCAAACGAAATGCAAAACCATCAGTCAACTCAACTTAGATCAAAATACCACAATCTGTGAGACAAACACACACCACCACCACATTAATACAAGCCAACAACCACTGCATTGACACACACAAACACCAGCATCACTATTATCTCCAATCATCTTCACAACATTCCCGGGTAATTCCAGCTGGGTGCGACAATCCTATCCAAAACAGCACATCATCCAATATCACAAACATAAATACACACACACACACACACACACACACACACTAAAACACCACCAGGACACTGAAATACAACAACTTCATCCATCCACAACGAATACTCAGATGACATTCATCACATGAGAAATACTCTCATCAGCTCGTCTCCTTTCAAACATCGACAAACCACGTACACAGATTACTCCGCATCCCTATACACCACACACAGTTATCGCGACCTCACCTTACCACACCGCCTAGCCACAATTCGAAAACCACTCGCAACAAGAATTTTCTTCTCTCTTTATGTACCATGTACGCATACATTATATGAAAACATCTATCTGTCAGTGATTACGGTTACCAATGTGTCAGACACAAAATACATTGGTCTCAGATGGACTGATTCACTGGAGATATAGACTGGCTCACTGACTTCTGGGGAATAGAAACTCAGGTTTAAAATTATAGACATGGCTGCTCGTCAGGATTATGGTAATGCTAACCCTCATGCAGAATGTTGTTTTACTGCACGGTCAGCGAAAGATATATGTGCTGCTTAGGCAGTGATGTAAAGGGCAATCGCATTTGCTTTCCTCGTCTCTCAGTTAACTGTAGGATAGATCTCACTGTTGTGGAATTCATATCGTGGTTTTTGGTGTAGTGTATTCGAATATTTAGTGGAAGGGAATTGCGTTGTGGATTAGTGTGATTTCAGTTTTAGTGTTTTGAGAAGCTATTACTGTTCCGCTGAAGGATTGGGAATTTTTATAGTGGTATTTTGGGAACATTGGTCCTGGAACTTGCAATGGATAAAAAGCTGTTTGCGTGCATGTTCACTTATTTGGTATTGTGAGTTCTTACGCTTTTTGTGTTAATGATTATTTTTATTTTCTTCGACGTTTTTCTAGTCGAAGCGTTAAGCATACAGTTTACTGTTTTTATAATTGTCATATTTGAAGCCTGTAACCAAAATGCAGTATGACTGTATCACTCCTCAAAGCTATTCACATGAAGTTTTTCTGAAGTGTATTATCTGTGTTTCTTAGCTTAATGAGTGATAGCCGCTATCCATTCTTTTAATCTTATATCTTCCTGAATCTGCTTAGGGTAAAGTTGTTGGTTAACGTGCAACTGTTTTCGCCAAGTAGATTGATGAGTTAAAAATTATGATTACATGTGTGTGGAAATCCCACACGTTTTAATCAATGACCATACTAATTCTGATAATTTCACCATATATTTCCATACTCCTAATAAGGAAAAATTTAACTTATGAATACAAAATACTGTTTATCAGTTACTAGAAGGATATCTCCTATAACTTGCTAAGGATTTTTCAAGGATGATTATTCAAGACTGTTTTCAAACTGACCGCTTAACATGGCAGTGGATTATATCACCTGATAGGGTCAGTAGGTTTATTTGTACATGAATATGAGTAATAGACTGCTTAGTCCGACATACCATAAGTACACGTTGTATCAGTCGAGATTTCGCCCAACAACGAAGAACACGAAGACGTCTTGGGACATTCTGGGATGTTCGACCATCAGAGGCTAGATACGCAGCTGTCTGAGCAGCTAATCAAAAAAGATTCAGATATAAGCGTAAATGAGAATTTTGAAAATTGAATTAAAAAATTATTATTGAAACATTCTTTCCCAGGGTTTACATCGCTATGTGAACATGTAAACAAATCTCGATAAAATGATGAGGAAAAAAAATCCCGAATTGTAATATAGTTAAAAGCTATCCTCCCTTACAGCGTGCACTAAGAACTGTGATCATAACAATATTAGGTGAAGGAATAGCGTAACAAATTGGGGAAACCGAAATGTTAGACATTATTTGGATAAGAATACACACAATCGTTTTGTTATTCCCTCTCGAAACTACTTTTAATATTCAATAAATTGGCAGTCAAAAAGAAATAAAAAGGTAGTTGAAGTGAGTTATCTACGATTGAACTTATTTTTTTGGATGAAAATTTCGAAACTAAGAAATCATATACTGAATCATGAATTAGGTGTGTGATGGTTGACAATAATACTTGGCTGACGAAACACTAGTAGATAGAATAGGGTTGAAAACTCAAACCAACTGACTGGAAGTCAACTACTAGGACCAATCAAAGAAAGCTTTACATCAAAATGACGACTATATATATAGGTGGTATGTTTGAATGTAGATTATTTCGTTAAATCAGATCACATATGGGGTCACTAATGACAATAAACAGAATTACTAATCTGAAGACGAAGATACATTTTGTCATTTTAAACATTTTGAATATTTTTAGTCACCTTTGCTTATTTATTAATTCCCTCTACTCCTATAGTGTTCATAAGTTAGTGTATAAGGTTACATCATTGTATGTTAACACATAATTTATTTACTTAGCGCTTTGCATGGACTTATTGAATCCGAGGTAGCTTTGATCACAGAAAAACATCTTAGTACGAGACTCCTTAGTGAGTAACGGTAGTGTATTTGCTATTAAATCTTACGGTCGTGGCCTTGACACTTCATAAAAGTGTGAAGTGCTGATGAGTCTAAGACTAGAATGAAACAGCTGTTCGATGCTCTCGGGTTTCCTAACTAATGTTAATCGTGATGAAAACTATTGTAGAATAACTTTCCCCGTGAAAGGTGAAAAGACTGTTTTCAACATTCAGTAACAAATGTAAATTGGATAAAGTACTATATGGATCCAGGAGTTCACTCAGATCTTAAATTTTACTGAAATATAAGATTTACAGATGAGAATATTGTAATTACTCATCAAAAGAAATATTACGCTAGGATATAAATAGAAATATTCAAAATACAACTCTTTGAAGATGATCTAAGCTTATCAATCAGAAGGAGAATTCACAAATTAACAAGTGAACTGGATGACAAAACTCAAGTCCGATACTTTTATTAATGGTGGGTAGTGGCTAGCAATGGAATGCAGGACACACAGTTCATCCTATTTGAGACTTGTCAGCTGGATGTACTTGCCTCCCAGTGAGTGATGTTGCTTCTACCGGGATTCGAGCTTGGGACGAATAGCTTCAAACGCCAAAGCGTCATCCAACAGACCACTGAGACACGATAATACACGCAACACAAGCAATGATACTAAAACTATACCCGTAACACAAGGAATGGCTGTCGTGGCTTGGTGGTCTAGTGGATAACACTATGGCGTTTGAAGCGACCGCTCCCCAGTTCTAGTCCTAGTGGGAACAACACTCACTAGGAGGTAGGTGCATCCAGTTGACGAGTCCCAAACGTGCGTCCTAGATCCCACTGCTAGCCACTATCCATCATCGATATACATAATTAAAACAGGCAGTATCGAGGAAGTCGCGACGGGGCTCATATGCCAATAGAGACCGATCAATTCGGTCCAACCGACGACAGGATAATGCAAACAATAATACTCAAATATGGTATTTGCAGATATGATGAAGAGGGTTGTGCAGTAAACATAAGTACAAACAAACTGTATTCCATCACCTTAGGGTAATCAATGATGAGATGCTAAAAACCTTGTGTCAAACTTCAGATAGTAGCTGCTCCTATAGGGGTATATCATTTATGAGGAAAAAAGTTGTCAAAGAGGAGTGACTAAATTAACTAATTAGGTTTCCACAACATAAAGAACTCATTGGTTATCTCAGCAGTTGTTAGACTGGCATTTAAAGTTACTCATCGAGAAGTCATTAATTTTTTTATTGTTTATCTTCCTACAAATCTCAAAACTTAGTGGTTAGAAAAACTAACATACATATGGGCAATTGTATAAGCTTGACCAGATAAAAAAAGTAAAACAAGAATAGTGCGAACTTAGCCATAGACATACACAAACAATAGTAGCGCTTACCTGAAACTGTACGTTTATGCCGCTTTACAAATGTTATCCTTGAACGTAGAAGCACTTTTTTTGTTGATTTGAATGACATAAAGCACATATTAGAAATAAGTGATAATAAATATGATAAAGGCTTGCGCCAGGCTTTAACATCGTCTTCTTCAGACATTTTGTCTTGTGATGAATTAGACGACTCAGTTATACACTTGTTAGACATAAGCATATCCAAAGATGAGGATGATGATGAAGACGGTGTAGTAGAATAGAAAGGTGGGAGCATTTGAGGTTCCTGTATAAGTGAATTGACTGGATATTCCAACATAAGGTCAGATAACTTTAAAGAAGAAAACAAAAACAGCAATGTGGATAACGTAATTAGTAGAGGTAGATTATCTGGAAAATATGATGTATTTGAGCTAGACATTTCGAAGAATCTGATCACATATTTACTTCTTAAAGTGTTACATATGAGAACTAGAAGTGGGGGACAGATATATATGACATAAAGAAATTCAATAATAAGAAAGATAATGAAAGAAGATAAGATTTGAAGACAACCTTGGTAATACGATAAAATACGCATTACCAGGGTAGGCTTAGTGCAAGGAAAAACTGCTTTTGTACACACACTGGGGGGTTATACTTGTTTATGGCTAGTGCTTCAAAAAACTTAAGTATACGCCTCTCGCAGTTTCTATGCAAAATTGGGTTCGACCCCTGACGAGGTCATGGGTGCGGACTGTTGAGAAGTCCCATATTAGGACGAAACCACCGTCCAGTGCTCCCAGGTTTTCAATATCCCTCCAAATGATGATAGTTCACGATGAATAACAACTTGTAAAGTCACTAAATCTCAAAAACAAAACACGCATTAAACTGGTTAAATGCTCATTGGTGACTAGCTTTGAGAGGTGATTCCTGAAGTCCCAATGAGAAGTCGTGACCGGTGGGGCGAACCTGATGACCGTGAGGACAGATACTCAACGATGAACTTGGGTCACGTTGTGAACTGACAGAAGTTGGAAATATGGACCATTGGAATCTGACCCAGTGGCTCAATCCTAACGTCTTGGCCACAGAACCTGAAGGTCCTGAGTTCGATCCGTGGAGGGCGGAGTCACGGTTGCGAACTGCCGAGGAGTCCCATACTAGGATGAAACAGGTGTTCAATGCTCCCAGGTTCCCAACGTTCCTCCAGTTACTGTCAGTCCACGATGAATAACAACTTGGAAAGTTGAACAGGCTGTTGTAATATCAATCCTGTGACCTTCATCAATGGTATGCTCTGCAATGAATGATGAAGGCTTTTCTGTCATCTACGCTTTCGATGTTTGTGAGTACAACTGCTTTCGTAGCCATTCTGGAACATGTTCTCCTAACCTTCAGTGTATATGACGATTAGTCCTCCCTATATATGTTTGTCCACACACAGGTAAATTTATAAACGTGTTGGGATGTGACGTGACCGTTTATACAGCGTTGAGGTCTACGTTAAGGAAGGTATTTTGTCTTCTCATCTACGATAAGCTTAGTTGCATAGTATATTTAGTTAACGACAGACCTTAACCTTCGATTTAATATTACACTATTAGATTCTACTCTGTATGGCAGCGTGATTTAAACCCATTTCTTCGAAACAGAGTACAGACTAGGTTTCAATCCTCGCTGATTTTTGAATTAGTTTATGAACTTCAATGGAAATTTATTTTGAACTAATATTTTAGTTAGTATTTTGATGTCAACATTTATTGCGTCTTCTACGCAAATACGCTGGATTCTTTTTAATAAGCAAGTTACCAAGCCTCGCTTGTATTGGGTTGGATAAAAGCTATGGAAACTTAGGTACTGACCTGTTCAAGTGAGTTTTCTGCAAATTGACCGTTTCATTGAACCATTTCTACGAATTAGGAGTATATTCAAGAACGGCAGGGGGTTTTCTTTCTCTTCTTCACATGTTAAGCTTATGTTGTTTTGCACGATGTTAAGTCTTTCTGGCAAACATGTTGCATCTTCATGCTTGTCACATATCATAATTATATAATCAACATATCTTTCATAGAGAGTAACTTTACTGATGAAATCACCAGTCAAACCTTCGATATATGACATGTAAATATCAGCTAGCAATGGTTTTAAGGGACTTCCCATGGCCATACCATCTATTTGTCGAAAATGTTCACCTTCAAATGTGAAGTGAACTTAATCAGTACGCAATAATAACAGCTCTTTTAAACACGTTGAAGGAATAGGGAAAGAAGAACTACTGAAAGATACAGGATCACGAAGAATGTGAATAGTTTTAATTAAAGGTACGTCAGCAAATAAGATGACATCAAAGGGACATTAAAAGGGACTAATTGTTTCAATTTCTTGAGAAGAAGGCTCCCACCACACACTATTAAAAGGTTAAATGAACTTGTTAGCCTCAGGTGCAAAACAGCATCCGTAAAATAGTAATAATTAGATTATCCAGAATAGTACTGCATGAGACAAGAAGAAGTTTAGTATAGATGAAACCTGTATTTACTTTCATGTCATCGTATAGCCTGTCTAAAACCTTTCCAACCTACAATGATGAGACTATGACGGAGATAAAAAGTGATGGCCTAACATTAAAACAAAGAGTGTGGTTAAACAAAGGTTAGTGGTTCATTACTAAACAGGTGATGCGAACAGTTAGACATCTCTCAATGATACAACAACTCCACATAGAACTTGACCACTATAATAAGCTTATAACATTGTTAAACAGTTGTGTAGTAGTATTATTGCTTGTATTATACCGTCGTTGATTTGACGAATCGATCGGTCTCTATTGGCGTATGAGCTCCTGTGCGGATGCCTCGATACTACCTGTTTTAATTAGGTACATTTATGATGGATAGTGGCTAACAGTGGAATCCAGGATGCGCATTTCGTCCTACTTGGGATCCGTCAGCCAGGTGAACTCACCTTCCAGTGATGCTGTTTCCACCGGGATTCGAACTCGGGAGCGATCGCTTCAAACGCCAGAGCATTATCCACTACACCATTCCCTGTGGTACGTGTATAGTTTTAGTACTATTGCTTGTATTATGCCGTCGTTGATTGAACCGAATTGATTGGTCTCTAATGGCATATGATACATCTAGTTGACGAGTCCCAAATAGGATGAAACGCGCGTCCTAGATTCAACTGCTACCCACTATCCATCACTGATATATAGTTACAAAACACAGGCAATATCGAGGCATCCGCGCAGGAGCCCATATGCCAATAGAGACCGACTAATTCGGTCCCATCAACGAGAGGATAATACAAGTAATAAGATTAGAATTATCAAAGATGCCTAGATTATTAAAAAGATTACTTCAGCCGACTCGTTCAATCAGCTAGAAACTTTAGATATAATATTTTGTGCTTCACATTCTTCTAACATCAATATATTTGAAGAGATTGGTCAAAATAGGGTTCCAAGCACCGAAGAAGTGATGAGGCTTTCATCACAGGCAACTCAACGTTGTGCAAAAACCTGGGTGAAATCTCACTCAAAAACTACGATCAAAGTTATGACAGATTGACAGTAGTTCTTCTGTCTTGAGTAATATTATAACTGTTAATGCTTTTAAAGAGCGTAAAATAACGTATGTAAAAGGAAAGTGATATATAAGCCTACGGTTAGTCATATTTAAAATGTTAGTTAATGCTCTACTACTCAGATTTTGTGTTGGGTAAGCTTATGTAGAGTAGATAGATAGACAGATAGTGTCTAACACCTCTACCAGATCAACCCACGCTCTCATAAGACGCTGTATCCGTTTTCGATCGAATACACAAGAATATGACACAAAGTTGTTTGTGAAAGTGGAGGGTAACTGAGAGAAGTATTACCATCTGTGAAGGTTATTACATCAGTTTCATGACTTCAATCCAACATCGCAGTTAAGAAGTGTCGCTTAATATGACTTTTGCTTTTAAATTTATTACCTATAGTCGTTCTAAGACATACACAAAAAATGTGTTCGTCGTGCGTATATACTATATAGACATACGTAATATTCACTGGACGGAAATGTCATTTGACTGTGTGACGGTACACAAAAAACATATCCACGATGCACATTCAACATTGTAGCATAAATCTCTCCAAGCACAAGCAGGATTACGTAATCGACAAGAGAATGAGCGTGAACGCAACAGAGTTGTGAAAAGGTCGATAGTGTATCTCAGTGAAAAAAGAGAGCAGAAGTCAGCTTGAATTAGCGTGTACCCTTGGGAGGTCCTCAGATATAATTAGACAGACGGACAAATAAAACAACGTAGAAAATCGCACACACGTACACCGTCCCAAGTTGCCACAATTCACAGTAGTATACAGATAACAAGCGGACAGAAAAAGAGTAATATAAAGGTAGACAAAGTTGTGTGAGACAATGAAAAATCTAAAGGTAAGTGTAAATATTCAAGCTTTAGAAGATTTCAAAGAGTGAATACATCTGGGCTCCTGTGACAGATTTTCAACTATGTCACTAAGAGTCCTCAATTACTGATTTCTATCGTCTCGAGAACCTCAGCCAGGCAGTCCACCTCTCTCTACAAGGCTCGGACTAACACCCGGGGACTTCATGGACTGGTGCAGGCTTCAGATGTATCATCTTGGTGGTATTTATGAAAGTCTTTCTTTTCGGACGTAGATAAACTAGATAAACCTACATGACCTGAAAGGTCTAAAATATGGTGAAGGATGGTTACATGAGGCATACCATAAATCCTTGGCTGATTTAAGGGGAGGACTTTCAACTATTGGGTCACGGGTTAGAGTTAGAGTATCACTCTATCTAACAAGATTTGGGCAACCATGTAGTATCCATTAACCCTCACATAGTAGATGTGGCTTATTGCCTGATGCATGGATGTACACAAGGTGGGTGAATCTGTTTTTGTGGCTGAGATTTGTCAGCTTGTCATACCAGATAGATAAGAATATTTTACTGAAACAAATCTTTCTGATGTCTTAACCTTTACCCAATTTATGTTCTAAAGTAGAGAAATTTAAATAAACAATTTTTACAGATAATTTCAATATACATATGTTTTAATTCATTTCGAAAACTTACCTCCATTCGTCGAATATCTACAGAAAGGATTGTAACAAAGAAGAAAAGTTGTAAGAAGAAGTCTGTAGTTAAACCAACAACTGCAAACAGACAAAATTCTTGCATTGTAGGATGAAATGTAAAAAATCCCAAACCAAGTAACAATAATCCCGTTAAGTAGAGTTTTGTAAGTGACCAGCTTTCTTTGCTTAAACCTGTTCGGTAGAAAAACAAACAACAATTAATTGATGGTATTTCAAAAATTGAATAATAATAATAATAATAATCGCTTTATTCCAAAGAATGTGTATGATACAGTATAGGATTCACAGCAAGTCACTCCCAGAACAATATTTTCAGACAGAATGGTTATTGCATTTGAATAATGTTAATAATAACAGTATTCACAGCAATAATGTGAAACAGTCAGCTGGTTTTAGATTACTGCCCGATCTAGTTCGAATGAAGAATCAATAGGAACGCGAGCGTAAGTTTGGTGGTGATGGTTCATTCAAGCTAAATATCTAAGGGATAGAAATATGATGCTATTTTACGCGCTGAAAAGTCCACTTCCAAATAATGTAACATTTTTTTTCTCTATTTTATTATTAACTCAAGAAACTGTGAGTTGAAAACATTTTAAAAATGTGCACGAATACATGATACGTTTAGACGACATTTAAGTGATTAAAACAAATTGAAATGAAAAAAAATTTTATATATATATGTTCGGTGGAAAATTTTATTGGTAACCTAAGGTTCAAACTGGTTGCAGAAAATACTGACGAGAAATTAACTACAGTGGGCAGTTATTGTCATGATAAAAATGTGAAATTGTTTTCCGTTGCCACTAGGTTATATGAACAAAAAATGTGATGTAAATGAATTTCCTTATAGATAAACTTGAGACTATAGAATCATCACTAATAGACTTTATTGCGCTTGGCTACCAAAAGTTTACTGAACATGAAAGCTACTGAGAATCTCTCACCTTTTATAAACTTCTTGTTCTCTCAGAGTTAACTAAAGTTCGTATCATTGATTGTACAGGAGGTCCAAGATGGTATAAAACTTCCTCAAGAAGAGTGACGGTGTAACGTTACGCTTATCGTCTAGTTAAATGTTTCTTAAACACTCTTATGATTTTTATCTTCTATCTGGGCCTGAGAATACCTTACAGTTGTTGCTACATCCTCTAAGGTGTTGACTTTAATTAGTACATAGACAAAGTTGATATACCTTCAGAGGGAGTGGAAATCCCTCCTGATTTCCCCTGAGGGTAAGTGTTAGAGAAACAATCAGTTTACCAACCATTTACAAGTTGCATGGTCCACGTTCACATATGTCACAGTTGGACACTTTCAACTCTCCAACTGTGGTGTCAACAAGGTTTTATCGGAAACTAACAAACCGAGGCTACAAGCTGTTATCTCTAACAAAAGTGTCATGGAATAACGACATATACTACTGGATAACATGAGGAGTTAAATATCACTATAGATTTCGCTAGTCATCCGTGAGAAACGTCAACATCGATCATGCAATTCGCAAATCGATCATCGTATTTAAGATTTACAGGTCCATCCACGTCAGCTAGTCAGGTTCAAATGAACTGAATTCCTACAGGTACGCTACTAATGAGCACTACTTCGAACGAGCGGAACGGTTGCCCAGCGCTTAAACCACTCTGACTTGGCTAGTAAAAACTACAGGTCAGTGTAGACAGATAAAAAGATGATATTAACATGGGAACGGGCATTATTGTGTAACGATTCCACACCTCATTTCAGTACATCAAGCGATAATGCACCAAGATGTAAGATAAAGAAGACAGTAGTTCAAAATGGCAGAAAGTTGTCAAAGGAAAGCAAAGAGGAATGAGAGATTCCTGAAATTCAGTGGGACGATTAAGATAATGTGTGGATACATCGCCAAAGACATCGATTCTGAACCACGTCACCTGAACTCCCCAACCTTCTTCCAGCTTGAACCTATTTCAGTCAACATTATGCGACGAGGCGACTGAATAGGCATGTGTAATATACGCCTTAGCCACTTTAGTTGATGAAGATTTACAACCTCATCAACTAACTTCCATCGTTTGTTCAAAACTCTACGTCTGACTTCTATGTTATTGAAGTGGTGACACCAAGATATATGGCCTATGCTACGAAGACAACAATGGTCGAACGTCTGAAGCTCCTTATATCTTTCACCTTCAATGGTCATATTTCATAGCAGGAAGAATTGCAGCGCATTACACCCAGGCCTCAATAGGCAACTGGATTAGGGTGAGTCACTCTAGTTACTTATGTTACTCAGCAGTATATTTTGATAGAAAAACGACTGATACTCAAAGTTGAGACAAGGTCAGCAACTGTTAGGTTACTCAGTGTTTTCATTTATGTTTGAAGTTGGTGATGGCTGGATGTGGTTATTTGAATTTAAAAATAGCAAGTGTTTATCATCACAAGATCACGGTAACCAAATTTTAGGTGCTATCTTAGTAAACCAAGCAAAATGCTTGACAGTTACAACAACTGAATGGCTTTTATTTTTTACGAAACTGAATAAGTTACGATGAAGATCATATCTCGTATCGGCTGAGTTGAGGTGAGTCGGTGCATATCCAAAGACTACAAAAAGATGTCAACGTGTATCACAACATTATTTGATTGGTACTGTACTAATTGTTCAATTTAACGGTGCATATGCAACTTGGATCCAGTCGAAAAGTGAAGTTTATGCCCTATACCTATACTTATAAGATCCCAATGAGTGGTTGTCAAAGTGTTATAACGGTAGCTGCTTGCAGTCTCGATATTTTCCAGCTGATAGGACCTCAAAGAACAATTATTCCAGTCAGTATAGCTTAATGGATTACTAAAGCATACAAACCGAATCGTCATATCAAACTGGCGACTGTCAGTCAGGTGAACGTCTATGGTTTCTTCGCCTTATGCCACACACACACACACATGCGCCGACAGCTGTGCAAGGTTCACTTACAAAACAGACTATCAGGATAAGCATGTGCAAAAAGTGTGAGCCTGAATAAACTGAAACCAGAAATTATTCGAAATCTGTTGTCACTGTTGAAGAAAAACGAAACAGTGACATTTTGTGATCTGATACGGAGCTTTTTTCATCTAACGAAAATAAGCAAATTGCATAAAATCTACAGCTGATCAGAATACATTAAGCGCCCACGATAAAATAGACGAATGATACAGATACAAATTCTTCGAAATATAGGAAGCTTACCTTCAGCAATGCGATATTTCACTGGAAGGTCCAATGGAGTCGCAACTACAGACTTAGTCAGAACAATAACATTTTCGAATCCGATTAGAACTACCAGATATGGGAAAACTTCACTGAAATCAATCGGAAAAATGAGAGAAGATAACGGTGTATAATTCGAAACCAATACATGGAAATCAACATGATACAGACTGAATGCATAAAGTAATGGAAATAGTTTATGCAAAATAGTCTACATTCACGTCACTTGGCGTGGAAGATAATTGAGACAGACAGACAAAAACATAAAAGCTACGTAGGACCTAGGACACAAGTTCATTGGCTCAAGTTGCTGCAGTTCATAGTAGTACACAAAGAACAAATGAATAAAAAAGTGACATGAAACTAAACAAAAGTGGATGAGATGAGAGGGAATTAAGGTTAGTCAAAACATGCAACCTTTAGAAGGCGTCAAATAGTGAATACATCTGCACCATTCTGACCGATTTTCAGTCACGTCGTCAAAAGCCCTCAAACACTGATTCCCTTCATCTTGAAGACCCCAACCAGGTAGTCTGTATCCCTTCACACGACTCAGACCAACAGTAAGAGACCTCATTCACTGGTTCCAGGTCTCGGTTTGTTCACGCTGGACCCTCTTCTACACTAATCCAACTTCCCTTAGTATGGCACGTAGAGGTAGGCGGTGGATCGGAATGCATAATACATGCCCAAGCCACCTCAACTAACTAAGGTTCACAAGCTCACCAATCGACTTGGTTAGTGTACCCTTCGCCTGACCTCAACACTGCTCACACAGTGATTCCACCATACGCAAGCAATGCTACGAAGACATCTATGATCAAAACCCTGAGACTGCTTAATGTCGTCTACTTTTAACGACCAAGCCTCACAGCCGTATAACAGGTCACAACGGACTGTACGGCAATCAACCCGTCCTTCGACAGACAGTCGGATATCTCGCTGGCGATACAGGCGATGCAAGTTGGCAAGTGCTAAGGTCCTGAGTTTGACCCCTAGCTGGGTCGTGAATGTGAAATGCTGAGGAATCCGATACTAAGAGAAAACAGTTGTCCAGTGCTACCAGATTTTTAATGGTTCCCCAACTAATTTCATTGCGTGATGAATATTATCTTGATATAGTTAGACGTGAAAATAGATGATCAGAATAATTAATACAGCCGGAAAAATTGCGTACAGCTTCATGCAAAAGTCGGTTACATGCAGAACTAAGAATATTACTTCGTTGCAAAGTTTCATCAAGTGTAACAGCTGTGAAGTTAGTGTATTGACTGATAAAAAGTAAAGTGCCTAAATCAAGAGACCATGATTGCCAAAATCCATAAATTATATTCAATTTATTTCCTGTATTCACTGAATCTACAAACACTTAAATAGTGATTCACTTTTAGAAAATATTTTTCTCAAGAATCTTTGAAAATAGAGATTTACGAGTGTAACTTTAATCTGACACCACAGATTAATCGACTCAAATTGGAGTTTGGCATTGAAAAACACATTCTAAGTATAAAATCATACCTTCCATTTAGTGTCGGCATTACAAGGCCAATAGTTACACACAGACCAATGGACATGAAGAGTGATGCAGCAACAGTAACACAAGCGCTCAAAGCTAACCCCCATTTCGATTTAACCATCTCCAATTTACCTAATAACATAAAAATGTAATCAATGAAGAAAAAAGATCAGAACAGTTACTTATTCAAACGAAAATATAAATACCAAATAACTGATGCAACAGACTAATTTTATTCAATTATAATTTTAAGAAAGACTCGAAATCACCCTTCTCGTCAAACGGACAGAACAACATAAAACAATGAACCAAAGTGGATCAGTTGCCTAAGTTCATAATAGAAAAGAAAGGCACAAGATCGATAAAAATTAAGGTACTGACAAAAAGGATACTGGACGATAAATAAAGAAGGTATTCGAAGTGGAGGAGAAAATCACACACGAACTTATCCGTATTATTGTGATCGATATGGAGTGATAGTCGTCTATAATAGCTGATTTCTAACATATCATGAAACTTTACTCGGATAATCAACATTTCGTCATATTTGATTCTTTTAATTGCAACTGCTTCACTGTAAACTGTTAAAGATGGCGTTGCATTTGTTTATTAACCCCTTTGAACGACTAAGACTTATATCACATGTGGAAAACTTAGCCGAGAATTTAATACATCAAGCCCATCTGTACTGAAGATGTGTTGATAATATGCTGATTATTTATGAAAACTCAAGTCAGTCTACTCCAATTCTAAACCGATTGAATAAAGAGCAGAGCAGCATATCCTTGACATGTGTAGAAGAGAACGATAACTGCTTGCCATTCTTGGACATATTAATTTGTCAGCTGAAGGATGGATCCATACACCGATCTGTCTACAGAAAGTCTACATAGACAGGGCAATATTTGAACTACCATAGCTTCTATCCAGTTCAGTACAAGTGAGCCTTAGTTAGGTGATTATTCAATAGAATTCAACGAATATGCACAGATGATACTTTGGAAGACGAGAGAACATTGACTGAAACGCTGTTAGAAAATAGTTATCCATCAAAACTTAGCAGCCAGCACAAAGCAGCCAGAGCACCAAAACCTACTATTCACTTTGGCTTGAAGAAAGATGCCCTCATCAGTCTTCCGTTTGAAGATGACTCACAGTGCAATCCTTAAGGAGAGACTTAACGCTGCTATTAGAAGGACTCACTGTGCAGTTGGGGTCCAACTGATAGAAACCACCAAGCCCATACACCAAACCCTTAAAGTGTAAACCACAATGTCACATCCCATGGCATCTACCAATTCAAATATACATGTGGTGATACAGACATAAGGACTCATAGATCCATGCAAGTAACGGCCTCGGAACATATCTTGATATGCGTCTGAAGCAAATGAAATCACCTGAATCCATAAACATTGTGGTAACAGACGTCCAAGTTCTTTGATCGCGAAACATATCGTTGAGACAGGCCACAGGAATGATGTGGCTACTTCCTTTACACTTATTTATAAAATGTACTGGGAATGGACCCTTAAGTTTGTTGAGGCCTTAGCTATTAAGAAGTTCAAACCACCTTTGTGTTCAGAAAAAAATGTTATCACATTGAATCTTCCTTGGTGAGTTCAACTATTGAAAACCAAGTTCGATGTACTATTATTTTTCGCCCTATTGATTTCCATTGTTATTCGGCCTTTAATTCAGCCTTCCTACTTGACCGCTTTTCGTACTCACCTCCTATCTTCATGAGTTTTTATAAAAATACCTATGACAAGTACGTGTGTGATCAGACTGTTCGAAATGTGTTGTGAAAATATTTGACGCGGTTCAGGCAATTCACGTCCTCTTATTGCTTTGTCGGAAAAAAATATTCGAATTTCCTTAGACTTTATAAACATCTAGGCCATAGTTGTTACGAATGTCCTGAAAGGAGCTGTGGCATACACAGCGAAACGTTCAGAAAAATCTTGTTTTCGATTTTATAAACACGCTGGGACTATATTAAAACTTACCTATATAATGTTTCTTGGACTTTATTTAAATGAATACATTAAAAAGGTCATCAGCTCAAATTCATTCGAAGCAAGGCTTATGAATCATCCCAAAAAATTGCTACCGTGACAAAGATTTTACAGGGTTCTAATAGCAATTTGACGCTCTTGACTTAAAGCAAAGACTGTATGTGGTATTGATAGGCAGTGTCAACAAGTTTCGACCTGAATAACCGTTTTCTACTCTGATTAACAAAGCGGAGTAGTGGTTCATTGGCTTAAGGAGTTGACTTTCAACCACTGAGTCACAGGTCCGAGTCCTGCTCCACCCACCAAAGTTTGTGCAGCCGGGTAGCGATCACATACTAGGTGTGGCTCGTTGCCTACTACACAAATACTCTCACAAGATAGCTTAGTGGATTTCGATTTAATTTTTTGATTCATTAACAAAGTGAAGCTTGGACAGTCGATCATTCAAATTCTCCAACAGAGATTCCGTAGCAATCCTACTATTTAGCTTTTGTCGGAATGCGAAGATGCAGTCCAGATGATAATGTGTTCTTTTTGTAGTTGAACAAAATTTAGTTGCATTTGCATTTCTTCGAGTTTTCAAGAAATCTATCTATTCGGTCAGGGATTTCGAGAGTGACTTTAAAACCTACTGACCAGTTTTCATTTTTAATAAAACTGATACATTTTATGTTTCGTATAACGTTTAAGTCACTGTCGTGCTGGTTGAAATCAGATCAGATATTGCAGTCGTAAATGTTTCAATGTGCGACTTTTCTTGGAAGGCCGAGGTTCTCATAACAAACATTCTTCCTCCCCCCACGATTTTCAAGGTAATTGGTTAGTGCTTTCTTTTACTTTGTTAAAGTTTCGAATTCTGGACAAGGTCATATATATATATATATATATATATATATATATATATATATATATATATATATATATATATATAGGGTTAATTGACTATTCCTTCTTGGGGGAATAAACTCGCCCATCCAGTTCAGTCTTCATCTCTATCTATTTCATCCGAGTTGGAGTCGGTGGATCTTATGTACGAAATTAGATGTCAGTCAAGAATGCGTATTACATCCTATCAGAATGTATAACTAAATCATTCAAAATAAAGAAGATACACCTTAGAAGAAGGCTAAAAGATTATACTTCTATAAGGTGACGTTGATGCCTTTGAATTTTCAGCTAATTTTCACTAACACTTTGTTAGTTTACGAGTAACTTCATTTTATGTAGGATGAAATAAATAAGATACAATCAACCTATATAATAAAGTAGCATCTACAAGGTAAAACCAACTTACGGACAGAAAAATATACATAAAGTAATAAGATAACGTATATAAATATCAATGGTGCATAGTCAGCAAAATAAGATCGATCACTGTACCAAACAAGAAAGATATGTCCAACTGATGCTGTATTGGATTTGTCGCTAGACTTTCGAGTTTCTTTAGTAATATCTACATTACCATGGAAATTTTCCATATGAGAAATAAGATAGTCTCGAAGTTCAGAAAAAAACCTTGAAATAAGAAATAAGTAAATAATACCAGTAATATTTTAAACAAAATAATTCATACATGAAATATAGCGAACATATAAATATCATAAAAATTAGCATTAACACTAATTTCATTATTTAGAAAGCTTTATCTGAGAAATAATAGGCAAGTATATATGACGATAAACTTGTTACTGAAACTATCTTTCTTCTCTATATTCAGTCGTTGTAGCGTTAGATTTAACTACAGGCATTGAATCCAAGCTAATTTATACAATGAGAAAGTGAGCTATCAAGGACTCATTTTAAGAAGGTATGCGACGAATGCATTAAGACTATTTACTACAAAACAAAACAAATACTTCTCAGAATGCTAATAAGATGACAAAAAAAATCGACAAGAACAAATTATGCTATAGCTACAATCGATCATAAACTTGACTGTTGATTTAAACGATGTAGAAATATATGAATTGTCGGGGTGGCATATGTTGAATGGTGACGATGTTTTACACGATAAGCTGATCTACTTGTCTTGTATGTTTACCTTTTTTTAGAAGCAGTACACCTGTTACACACTGGTCTAAGCACTCGGCTTTCAATCAGTATGTAATAGGTGTAAACCATACAACGCGAACGCATATATGGCTACTGAGGTGTATTTTATTTACACTAGCAGGATATACTGACACTGAAAGAAATCCGTGAATATTAGAAATGAAAGGAAACAAAGTTTAGCTAGGCTTTCCGTGATGAATACTAACCTTGAAATAAATATGGAATCGCCATAAATCTCAAACTAAAATACTGTATTATGCTCATAAGTGACACGCTTCAAGATGAATATCTTAAAGTTCCAATGAAACACTATGATCTGTGGGGTTAACCAGTCGAAAGGGAAGCGGATCCCAACTGAAGACCTTAGTGGATAGTCGCGCTATATGGTGGATTGACATAAATGAGAAACTGTGGATCATTGAACTCTGACCCAGTAGATGAATGGCCAACGCGTTCGCTGTGAGACCTGAATATCTTAAGTTCGATCCCTGGCGAAGTCGTAGGCGTGTACTGCTGAGGAGTCGTCCAATACCAGAGCAAAACAGCTGTCCGGTCCCCCAGGTTTCTAGTGGTTCCATAGCTGATGTTTTAGAATAAAATTCCTTTATAAACTGAAACTAAGTTTTTATTACCACTGCTTTAAGCAACGAAGTAAGTACTAACGAAGTTAAGCTGGAATTTCATTTTGAAGCTAATCACCTAATAGTAACACAACCTTGCGAAACCATGACTACCTCAGATAGTCAAACTGACAATACATTGAATATTCCCATTTAGACATTTCAAAAAGGATTGATTGAGCGGAGAAATACATCTTTTTTCAACTAGGTCTTCACCTTGGGCTCTACACTAATTTACGCTTTTACAATTTAATCAAATTACCAATCACATGGTGGTGTTTAAGAAATAATGATGTAAACAATCAATAGTTACTAAAATTGGGAATATATGAAGCAGGCTATTCTTAAGTAAATGGAGTGATTTTTTATCAGTGTTCAGTTATTCACAATAAGCAATTACGCAATAATAGGAAAACAAATGAATATTGATAGAAACAAGAAGGAGAAAAGGTGCAAAAAGTAACCCCAGAAGTAACATCATGTTGACGGCCACGATAATGAAAGTGGTCGAACAAGCTCCTTTTGAATACAAAGGTTAGGTTTGTAAAAGTGGATTGCAATCGCATCTACTGTGTGAAGTAAGCGAGTGCGTAATCCATGTGGTAAATTAATTGGAATATGATGAACGATTTTGAAAGCTTTTCCAGTATCCACTTGATGTCTCTTGTCAACTAGGTGTGCAAGTATGGAGCTTTTTATTGTCCTAATTTGTCCCTTGCTCAACGATGAAAAGTGATGCTCAGAAATTCGACGATGGAACTGCCTCATTGTACGCCCAACGTAACTAGCTCCACGGGAGCAGTTGAATTGATAAAGTGGAAGAATCAGACAGTTTGTCTTCATTTCTCGCACCTAGAATCGTGCGGTTCTAGGTGGGACATAATTTAGCGGCTGGGAAGGCATTATGCAAGACTCTTTCTATGCGCCATGTGATAATCCCATTGGCTATGCCACTCTTGAATTTCAGCTTCAAGAAGATTTGCTTCTTAGGAGCTGTTGGCGTTCTTGTCTTAACCCTCGTAATATTCATATGCTTCGTTACAAACTTGTCTGGGTAGCCATTCCTACTAAGCAGATCACGGGTGGTGGAGAACTCTTCCTTTATAGCATCATCTAAGCAAATAGCTGTGGCACGGTAGGCTGGGCATTTCACCAGGTTCCTTTTGTATAGGAGGGGCACAGCGCTAAAGAAGTGCGTGCACTGGCTTGCTAATGTCAGTTTTCTACATACACTTCGTTTCAGAGTTCCATCTAACCTTCTCACCAACAGAACATCAAGAAATGGGATACTGTCATTTTTCTCCTCTTCCATCGTGAAGTTGATTGCCGGATGAACATTACTGAACTTATTTCAGAACAGCATTCTTAGCAATCTCACTTTTGAGAACTATAAAGGTATCATCCATGTAACGACAATATAACTATAAACGGCTAATAGTTTCATTCAGTGGACTATTCTCTAGTTTTGCCAGAGCGGGCCTAGGGGTGACCCCATAGCTACACCATCACACTGCCAGTAGAGTTCATTGTTAAAAAGGAATTGTGCGTTCATTGTACACTTCAGAAGTAGTTCTTTCAATGTGGAGACTGGAACACCTATTTCCATGCCGTGGATCGTTGCAAATTAAGTCTACTGTCTCCATTAAAGGAACGTCAGTAAAAAGAGACGAAACATCACACGATATCATTAACTTATTATCTACTTTCAGATCCTCAATCTTTTTAACAAATTCAAAAGTGTCTTTGAGACTGTACTTTACAACTCCGTTGTGGAGAGGCTTCAAGAGTTGTACTAACCATTTTGCGGTTGTATGCTACGGAGAGTTTGTCATGTCGAGGACTGGTTGGATAGGCAGAAGACCGTTTTTATGTAGTTTTGGTAGACCGTAAAGTGTGTAGGTGTAACGGTTCCAGTAGGTTTGAGCATTTCCAAGGTGCTTTCTAAAATGAAACCTTGTTATTTTATCTTTTTCAGTGATTCGCTTAGATGTTTCTCGGTTTCCTCTGTCGTATCACCATAAGCGACTAACTTCTGAAATTTACTTTCATTATGTAAAGTATTCATTTTGTCTATGTAGTCTTTTTTCTCCATTAAAACTATTCCTGATCCTTTATCTAGCATAGTTATCACAATATTTGCATCTGTTTTAAGCTTTTGGAAGCTTTCATGTGTTTTTTTCTGAAAACACTCTTTATACCGTTCCTACCACTAGTCTACTCAAGACAGAAGTTAACGAGTATAGTCTTAAGTCTATCAACGTCTTCACTAAATGATAGCGTAGAGCCCAAGATGAAGATCTAATTGAAAAGGAATATATATCTTCGCTTAATCAGTCTTTTTCTAAACTGATAATAATTTTAGATACCAACCATTGCAGCTGATATTAGAGCCATCTAGGATTTCAGATACCGGTAGCCAACATATTATAAGTAGATGTGAAGTACACAAATACAGAGCACATAGAAATGCATTTAAGCATCAATATAACTAGGAGTTGATGATGTAGAGAACACAAAAATATTTTCGTAACATAATATTCCCAAACACAACTGGAGTGTACTGTGATGACAGTTACAGTTCTTACGATACGCTAGGAAATCATTATGCATTACCTTGAAGAAACAAATGAAACTGACACTTACGAAGGTTTATATTCTCGAAATACCAAAGTCAATGCATATGTAACAGTATGCTTCCGACTACATACAGAGTATTTTGACAATCCTGTTGTTTTCCAAGGGAATCCAAACAAAAGATCTCGCAGGTTTCCAACAGCTGCAAGTCGTATACGTGACATAACAGACGGCTGAGGGGACTGCACTACACCAAGATGACCATCTAACAGGAAACTAGGAGCTAACAGAAGACATCCAAATGTCGGTAACACATCTTTTATTGTTTCTGAGCTTTCTACTTCACTGACCGCCCTGTCCTCAACCTATGAAGAATATCAGCATTACAAAGGATATAGGGCAACAATTAAAATTTCGCTTTCTAAGTAACGAATATAATGTAACTTGACTCACCCTCCGATCAGTCAGATACAAATTAAATGGAGAAAAACTCTACGAAATTTCTTATTTAATAAATCTACTTGATAAAGTAGTGACTGATATATCATTTTACGGTTATTTCTTATCCTGAATCTAGATAAACATAGGTAAGTACAGTAGTAACTCAGGTAAACTGAAGGTACATCTACGGTGTCAGGAAAGAATCTATGAAGCTGAGATCAACATGAAGTATGTATGGTCAATGCAAGCGAATATACAGGAAACTAACTCCTACATCAAAGTTATTTTGATGATGTAACAATATGGAAAACAATAATGTGAGAAGAAAAGACGGAAAATAAACCATTTCAGCGGTGATGCAACTCTTTCTCAAGACTATGTTTGTGCAGCAAGTAGTTAGTCATACCCATTTCGCCAGGGTTTATGATAGTGTTTGGCTGCCAAAACATCGGTAAGCGGAGTGAGATTCAAACTGATGGCTTACTGGTTGAATATCAACTGCCTAAACCAGTGAACTACAGCTCCACAAACACAAAATCCAAAATACTGATTAACAAGCTTGGTAGCAAAATGGTAGGTTTATAGGTATATTAACAAGATCTAAAGCGCGATAACTAATAAATAACAAAATATGATAATAACTGAGTCATCAATCACCTAATTTTGGGGACAAAGCTTTTGCAAAGCTCTTCTAATATGTGGTAAAATTATACCGTTTGCTAAAATGATCATTTCAGGGTTCAACCTGAATGTGATAGTATGCGACAATCAGTATAACCAAAGTGGAATTGCAATGCATTTTCACACAGTTACACTAAATGAAATGTCTGGACAAGAAGTGATAACAATGAAGCCACAACACGACAATATAAAACCAAGTTGAAGACTGAGATAAATCCTTACTCAGATCATGTATGCATAAATTATAGCTGAAGTTGGTTATACGAACCATTTAATTGTGTTTTACTTTCAACTACTAGTTATTCAGTACTCAATCTTAACACCACTAATCACCTTCGACGTTGTTGTTACACTAGCTAGATAGCAAAAAGTTAGTTGCATCAGCCTGGATGGACTGGTTGCTGGCAAAATCTTAGCTCGGATACAGAAGGCACGTTTGGCATTTGCTAACTTTCGCCACCCATGTCACCGGCGAGATATCCCACTACCTATCAAAGGACGAGTATACTGCAGTTCATTCTGTCCTACTATACGGTTGTTAAGCATGGCCGTTAAAAGCAGACGACATGAAGTGGTCTCAGGGTTTTGGTCATAGATGTCCTCATAGCATTACTTAAGTATGGTGGAATCACCGTGTGAGCAGTGTTGAGGTCAGGTGAAGGGTACTAGGCAAGATAGGCCAGCAAGTCGATTGATGAGGTTGTGAACCATAGTCGACTGAAATGACTTAGACATATGTTGTGTATGTCGACCCACCGCCTACCTCTACGTGCCATGCTAGGGGAAGTTGGATTAGTTTAGAAGAGGGTTCAGGGTGGCCAGATGAGGACCTGGCACCAGTCAGTTGGTCTGACTCTTCAAACAGACAGAAATTACCAACAGGGGAAAAGACATGACTGTGTAGTTTCTCAAGTCACCACCTTTTACATCAACATATAAAGATCAAAGGTAAGAATAAGAAAGATAAGATATGGTATGAATACATCTAGCTCAGAGTGATTGACCCAAAGTGATACCAACCAGTTTCCAAATCTAAGCTTGAGTATCTTGTAGACTCCAATATTTCTACACACAGCTCTGACCAACAATCAGATTTCTACTATATCTTAGTCTAGTCAATCTTAGTTTACTTCCAACTTAATCATGCTACAGCCAACACTGAGTCTGGGTCAAACATCACTGAATATGGGTAACAAGTCCCAGCCATCTTAAACGATAAAGGTTTACAAACCTATCAATTAACTTACTTCCTTTGACTAAAACTCGTTCAAATGGTGACTTAACCATATGTGAGGGATATTAAGAAGGCTGCCATATTATTCACCATGAGCATCTATGGGTGTATCACAACTTCTTGATTGAGTACCTAAATATAGTAAATCTCATTGGTACGAGGCTTAGACTTGAAGTCCATAGTGATCATAATGTCTTTACATTTTATATCTTTCAACAGTATTTTATTCCTTTTTCTGTACTGCAACCTTCATGAGAGTGTTATACGATTGTGTGTGGCACATTTTGTAGTTTCCATGTTGCTTTCATTTTGCATCAAAGTGATAAGACAGAAAATCACTAAAGGATTAAAAGATTTGGTGAGTAAACAAAAGGTTGTGTACAGACAACAAGAAGTTTCCCTTTCACTTTCAGCAATGCAAATAAATAGGAAAATAAAGGTTCCTTGAATGTAACAATCCGGGTTGGATGCTAACTAATATCTTCAGCTTAAATACAACTTAACCCGGCACATTTTCTGAGTTATTACCTTATGAGTCACATCTAACGCGTAAAGGTTTATGACACTGTACAAAGTTATCCAGGTCGATGAAGCTGAGACAAGATTTGATTTTAGAACCTATTGATTGAAAGTTCAACGCCTAAAGTGATAAGCCACAATTCTACTTAGCTTACAAAAAGAATAAAGGATCCTGTCAAGAGCAGTGTAGGGAGTGAACGCAAATCTGCTGTGAACAATACTACTGAAAATCCTAACATCATCGGTGAACAGAATTTTGACTGAAAATATGCATGACTTATACCACTACAATGGAATATTTGCATAATTTGGTTGCCATGCCTAAGTAGATGAATCAATAACCACGGAATATGTTTGATGAGACTTAATGTATGAAACATACCTGGAAGCAGATATCATCAAATGTTTGTCCGTCTGATTTGCCATCGTCTCCAGTGCTTCTGAATTGGCGCACAAGCTCAACTAACTTATTACTCTGTTGAAGTAAATGGGTGATAGTTTCATGATTCACATAACATTCAGGGATTTTCGTCAATATTGTCGAGTGCACAACTATTTGAAGCATGTACCCAAGGCTCTTGTTTTGATCATCATGAGTCTGTTTTAAAGGTTAAGGAAAACAAAGTGAGATTAACCACATATAAGATATCTAATCAGTGAGGAACTTTAAAATATTCTTCACTAATATGTAAATCTTAGTTAATTTGAATAAAAAGGAATATTGGAGGGAGGAAGTGGTCAGCAGTAAAATGAACTGATAATATTTGATTTTCAAATTGGTTTTCATCCCCGGTCGATATCAGTCACAGAATCATTAAGAACCCCCAAGCACTAGATAGCTGTTTCGTTCTACCACAGAGCTCCTCAGCTGTGTACTATCACGATCCCACAAAAGATTAAACCGAAGATGATTTCGTCTCACTAAGTAGCAAGGTTAGGATCCTCTTCAGCAGTCCTAAAATACGATTAAACAGCACTCCATTGCCCGCTGTATTTCTGTTCCGCCAGTCGATGCAGTTCACGATAAAGGCCACTTGAGACAGACACAGATAAAATCGACATAGAACTTTGCACAAATGTGTAACGGTTCAAGTTACCACACTTTGCAGTACCATGCAAAAACAAATGGATAACATTGTCATAAAAGCAGACAAGAGGGTATGGTGGGAGAGGTAATTTGAAAACCCAGATGAATGAAAGTGTTTAAACTTTAGAAGACGTCGGAGAATGACTGTATTTACATCACTGTGAACGATTTTCAGCCATTTCACGAAGGGTCTCCAAGCATTTATTCCTATCATCTCAAGGACCTGAACCAGGCAGTCTACATTTTGCTACACAGCACAGACTAACAGCCAGAAACTGTATTGACTATTGACCATTCCTCCTCTGATAATGCTTAAAAATCTTTCAATTTAATCCAACTTCAGTCTACATTGTACGTCGACGCAGATGGTACCTGGCCACGCCCAACACGTACAAACCAACTCAGTCAGTAGGGCCTCATTCCCTTGCAAACTGATTTACCTCCCTTGCATAGTACCCTTTGCCTAACCTAGACTTACCTTATACAGTGATGCCACCATACGTAAGCAGTGCTGTGAATAAACCTACGGTTTAAAACCTGCAATCGTTTAATGCCTTCTACTGTCGACAGTTATCCCTCACGGCCGTAAAAGATGACAGAACCGACTGCAGTGCAGTATATTCGTCCTTTAATAGATAGCCGGATATCTCACCAATCGGCACCAGAGATGACGCAAGTTGACAATTCCCAAAAGGACCTCACATATCTGAGTTGAGATTTCGTCAGCAACCACCCATTTCAAACTGATGCAACTCTATAAGCAAGTAAATGATCAAGGAACTCTGCCACTTCACTTACACTGAAAGTAGCAGCAGACAACTGAAGCATTATCTTACATTTGACGGGTGAGAAACACATACCTTACATACTCAGACTTTTGCTCAAGGCGTTCAGAAGATCCTGTATTTTGTCAGCATCTTCACCTAACAGGACAATGTCATCTGTGCAGTTCAAACTTACCAGGCATCCTCTATAGAACAGATCAATCCTTGTAAAGTAGGCGGTTCCTAGGGTTATCTCGATCGTTACGTAGTCAAATAAGAACAGTGACGGGGAAACCTGGCAGACACCACTGGTTGTCATCACTTCAGATGACAAATCACCATAGGCCCCTACACGTTTGAGTAGAAAGGTTCGATTAGCGTTACATACTTGTCCGGTACTCCCTTCAAGTTAGGCAGTAAGAACACCTCATGACCAACGGAGTTCAATACCACCTTCAAGTCAAGAAATATGGCAAATGTCGGCCGTTGATAAGTATGCCTACTTTCTAGGACTTTTCAAAGGGTGAAAATCCAACCGATGAATCGTAGTTCAGGTCTGAAACCTGCCTGGTTTTCTCGACCTTCAGTTAGACGCCAAACAACTATGAACCCAGGGATCTTGGACACGATATTAGTCAAACTAATTACCTTACGGTTATCAAAAGAAGACTTCTCTCCCTTATCACGACCAATGAAGTAGACCACTCTGATGAGAATACCTCTAATTCACAAACGCTATGTAGCACCTCTGTTACTGTACTCACTAATTTCCTACCTCTATCCTCAAAAACTATGGATGGCAGATCATCAGATCTTGTTGCTTTGAATCATTTCAGGTAGGAAATAGCCTTCTCAACTTTGACGAGAGTTGGAAGATCAACATTCGTGTCCCGTTCGGATTTGGACTGGATGCTGGGTAACTGAAGCGTTGCTGTGGGTTACTCGGACTGTAACTCAGTGTTCGGGTAAACGTTCCAGCCGACTGTCATGAGGTGTTATCAGAGTCCCGTCCTATTCAGGGATGGTTTCAACAATCATCGTTTTCTTCTTGCCAGTATCCTTAATAAGCCTAAATAGTTGCCAGGCGTCACGCAACACTGATGCCTTCCCCATTTTACTTACTTTTGCCACCCACCACTGATCGCGATCGTTGCGAAGACTCTTAGATCATTTACGTTTGAGCTACTTCCGCTCTTTATAGTGGTCAGAGTTAGCTGGAATAAGTTTTCTCATATCAGTCAATTCGGATGACATTACGGAAATCGAGTGACTTTTACCAACCTTTGAATGGAGGTTGCGAACTTTACCGCTGTTTATGCAGCAGGCTTCATTGGAAAGAGAATTCAGTTTGCAAGCTTGTGCCAGTTGATTCCTTCTAAGGTCATTTCCAAAATCGACTAATATCAGTCAGAGAACTCTTGAAAACCTGGGAGCACTGTCCAACTGTTTCGTCCTAGTTTTTGAGCACTTAGCAATATGCTGTTCAGATAAATGCTTATCTATCAACTATATATATATATATATATATATATATATATATATATATATATATATATATATATAAACACTTGATTTTCTTGGCTTCTAGTTAAGTACACATGCTTCATTGCTGCGTTTCCTACTTTTAGTAACATTCTAAATTAATCAATTCCTAATAACCACCAATTCAACATTTAAACTTAAAATTTACCGAAACCCAAGCAATAAAAATGAAATGCACTTCAAAATGGATTCTATTAGTCCGAAAATATTGTTGTTTAATGGATGTAAACGTGAATGGGGTGGAGATTATTGGCGTAAGTGCACACTAAATAAACATCAATCAATCTTAAGTAAATGTCTTATCCCTTTGCACAGGTAAAGAAATATGACTTTGCTACCCAGATAGGCATATAAATTCTATATGAGTCTATGGGTAATAGTTCTACTGAAGTTGCATGCATATCGCTGGTAGTAATATGGTATATACTACCTCTATCACTACAGTAATTATTAGCAAAGTTATATGAACGTTAAATATTCTTACAAAAAGTAGTGTCCGTGATCTCTCAAAAATTCAATGGTGAGCATATAATAACCAGAAAAACATAATATTTAAGTGTTTTCATTAAAACAACCAATTTGCAAGAAAATACATTAATTACGTACAAGTAACCGCTTCCTCTCCTTGCAGGTATACATACTAGCCTTCAAGTGCATAAAAGTCTCAGTAGGCCTTTTCATAGCTATTTCTCGATGTACGTGCACCAAGATGAGTGCATGAAGTACTAGTTTAAGTATTCACTGAAACCTCGAATAACCCCTTAAATTATGACCACTAGCATCATATGTATTGTGTACTACCAAAACTGAAATGCATCTAACCATGTGCACGTTCGTGTAGTAGGTGACGAGCTACACCTATCGTGAAGGTAAAGGATATTGTCCTGCTGCTAAAATCTTGGTAGGTGGGGCAGAATTCAAGCCCGTAATCCACTGAGCCGAAGTCAAGTGTCTAGGCTAATGAGTCACAGCTTCTCCTGTTTCTGACCAGTATAGTTTCAAGTAAACCATAAAAAGACATTCATTGTGTAGACTTGCTGTAATCATCGTTTTATGTTCGAATCATCAATATTGAACTGTCCCCACAAGATAAGTTCCCTTGTTAGCATCTGCACAGTTTATAAAAGCATCATGCTTTTCTAATGTACATTAGTCTCACTTCTTTGGTTTTAATGGTCATGGTTTTTTCATAAGAACCCAGGAACAATCGAAGCCCCACTAATTTTTTCCTTTTCAGGGGTAACCAAGAGCTAATTCCAGCGAAACGATATCTGAAAGATACCGATAACACTACACAATTTATAAAGTCAACTCATAATCCTTGCGTTTATATAATTTCCAGTTTGAGATACGATCAATACGAACACTGTTATCATCATATTAACTATCACCTAATTTCAGTACTTTTATTATTTTGAAATGATGACTAGTTTAGTGATAACCTGAAGTTTTCAGGATGCAACATAATACATACATTTCACTGGATAAATAACAGTTGTGTTCGATTTATCTATAGATTACACTAAGCCCCTCGTTTTCTAGGCTAATTAGTTCATTTCAATAACTAAACAAATCTGAACCTGATACTAACACATATACAGAAATGATCTAGGGCATCAAAAAGTAATATAGACAAAAGTCATTACAGTAAAATACATGTACCTACTCTATATTACCTTTGTGATTGCAGACACCTCATTCAACTGCTTTTTTAATATCCATTCCTACTATTCCAAAAATATTCCATTTATGTTTATTTACTTCACTAGTGTTGTGTGGTAGTTTGAACTGAAGCAGTTTGGGTGAAGTTCTACACTGATGTTTGTATGAATAACACAAGGTCGAAACGGAGAGAATAACCATGGTGTCAATCACTATACAACTAATGTCTTTTTTTCTCATCACTTCAGTAAAAAGAATCTATTTAATTAACTTTTGAAAAAAAAATCGAAAATGAATGAGGTTTACTTACGAAAACATAGCGTGAATCTTTAAAAGACTGAAATTCATCATCACGAACAACCGCACTATGTATGGGTACTTCTTTAACAATCGGGATCTGAGTTAAAGGATAGCTAAACTCATTAACCAAAACCAAGCCTACCAGAGGAAAATCATAAGTATGCACACAATCGTTATCACGGGAGCCGGATGAGTGGAAATAAACAGTCCATGGTTATAATACACCCTAGCAATTTTGACTTTCAACTTCTCCACTAGCACATCTGCAGATAAAGCCCGAAGACAAAACGACATGTATTGGCATAAAATATCTAGTTCTTCGCAGATTTTCGTTTAACTTTTCCTTTCTTCCTTCACCAGTATACATTCAGTGTAGACTTCCAGATATCTATCTGGACAAAATGATCTGGAAACGAGAATAAGAAAAGCATAAACCGACAGTCCTGAGTAAGCTTCGGAACAGAAAACAGCGGAAGGCTAAATGTGAATATTAATCTATGAATGTAGGGATATATTATTTGCAGTATGTAGTATAATTACACACCCATGGATACCAAATGATTTCGTTCCAATATAGCTGGGTCAGTTCGTGTATCTTGACCCTGCTACGATTCAGTTTAAATTTTTTGGGGGAAAAAAGCTGAAAAAACTAGGGCGCACATAGGAGTGAGCAATGTCCCCCGAAAAACCCGGTTTTTCCTTAACAATGTCAAAAGTCTGAAAGCACACCAAAAGCTTTGCACCAAAAATGTTGACAGTTACGGGTTGAGCACATGACGGCAAGATTGTATAACACCTCATTACTGAACGTAAAATGGTCTCCTTATTTGTCTACCTGCAAACATACAGTACATTGAAAAGCAACTCACTTCTAAGAAGCAATTGCTGAACAGAAATTGTATTTCTAATTTTAACAACACCGACGTGACATCTACAGAGCAACTGAATTTAGAGCAGGCTCCATTGAAAACTCGGCAATCGTGTCAACGTGTGCACATTGGTTTTCAGAGACTGATTACTGACTTACACTTTTTGAAACCACGATTCCTTAGAGTGCCATCAAGTAAAGTAATTATATCCGAGCCCTAAAACTAGAGAAAAGAAGTGGCTATTATAGTCAAGGCATTCGGTGCTCACACCTATTTGTCACCACTTAAAAACATTGATTCAAAATGATTCTGTGGTAATTATGAAACTGATGGATAGACCTGATCTCACACACAGCCTTTAGGACAAGAAAGATAGTATTCCGTTGGAAAACATATGCAGCAAACTTAAGCCAAGTCATATTAGACCAGTTACTGTAAGCAGGTTTTTATGTAGTCCTGATCCAATAAATTAGTAAAAGCCCTGACTTTTATGGTTGGCCTTCTCCAACTCAGATGATGTTGAGGATATGCTGTTAACATCCCACGTGCTAAAGACTGAAGGGAATATAAGAACACCAGCAGATATCCCGCACTTCGAGAGAACGACTATAAAGTGATAGTCCCGAGGCCCACTTTAAAGGAAAGAATCTGATAACACAGGGAATATTGAAAAACTAACGTACTCAAGACACCCACTACAATTGCTACGAGTGGAAATTCCTTCAGAATACCATGAAGCTATCAGGAATAATAGACCAGAACATCTCATGGATGCCTTAAAAAGGATGACGACACTATACCAAGGTTAATCAAAGTGGGCTTTCTGTTCTTTCAAACGGCAACATCCACATTGCAGGAATTTTTGTAAAGCAGACCTCGTTTGCCAACTGGGATTCGTATGTTATCTGATATATCTCTGACGAAAAGGCTAAAACGGAAAGAGTAAGGAGTGGGGCTCGTCGTACCTTTGGCAGACTGCATGGAAACAAAAAAGGAGGAAGATATGAGGAACGCTTGACTTAAAAACCACACTTGGGCAGGTTCCCAGCTCCTACACCCAAAGATCCAGTCACGAAGTTGGACAATAGTGAGGCCTCAGCAAGTCCATTCAAAGTATAGAGCACAAGCTACCTTTATGGGAGTGCAAAGTTTGCCTAATAAACTCGATGAACTAAGGGAACTAAATAACGACACTTATCCTCGTCTCATTGGCATTAATGAGACATGGGTTCCTCCTGAAATTTCGGATCAGGAGCTGGTTGTTGCCAACACTACAGTTTCGCAGCGACAGAGGAGCTAATAATGCGGTATGGTAGCATTTTGCGTTAATTCTTCTTTTACAGCTCATCAAATCCACATTCATGATGGACTTTTTCAAAAAGTCTATCTAGTGCTCCAGTGAACTGTCCAAGACTATAAAGTGCTTAGTGGGAGTTTTTTACAGGAGATAACCTGTTGACGTCCACTAAGACAATCAGATGTTGGAGGCAACCAGCTGTTTTGATACACTGGGGCATACATCCTAGTTTTAGATTTTAACCTACCGTAAGTTAGCTTTGTAAATCATATGTTCAGCGGAAGTGATGACTCTAGTGAGGCCTGATTATTCAGAATTGTTGAAGAACTGGAATTAACAGATAGGAAGTCAGAAACGCGATGGAGGGACACCCTAACACCATCTCGCTCAGATTACATCAAAAATGAACAATTCCATTGGACGAGTGACAATTTTGTTATCAGTGTCTGTAATATAAAAAACCAGACCCTCCAGTGTCCTTAGAACTTCAACTGACACGAGCTGTCAGATTCGGAAGCCAACCAGGTATGGTAGAATGTGAACACATGTTGGAGATTTGTACTTAGCAAAGTCATGTAAGCCATCATACGGTCTGCCCCAGTCTCAACTCCAAAGCGCTCTATATCACTCAAGATAATAAGCAATCCTACTGCTAAATAACATAGACTAAAAAGACATAATGCGGGTGATCACAGAAACAATAACAATGAACACATACAGACTATTCAAACAGACAAGAAACAGATGCACGAAGGTTGAAAACAAGTTTTCTTCAAACCTATGAAGTATACAACACAAAGCAACATCTTTCTGAAAAGTTGAGATGGAAATCCCAACTACTAATCCGAAATAGGCAAAATAGTAGACACACTGAAGCAGCAGAACTACGAGACAACCAGAATTTGCAAGTATTTTCATTATCCACCACCTAATAAGAATTTCACGAATATCTCTGTCATCTACTCAAGCGTTCACCCATCAAATCATATACTACAACTCACAAAACATTTGTAGCAACTGGTAGTCTCAGGGTCCTCATAAACCTCCTAGAGATGAGAGCGAGATGTAGCAGCAAATAGTCCGTAAAAATATTCCATGCTTACAACTCCATACTGTGTCAAGTATATTGTTTGAAATAAAGTTATTACTATGTTTGTTGATAAAGTTTGTCCAGACTTTTCCAAAGAATTCTATCGCACTAATCACGACTACTTTATTGATAAAGTTAGTCGGGATCAAACCAACGCTGATCAACTGGTTGACCTTATGTCTATGTTTATTTAGAGCTGTGATATGTTTGGAGAAACAGAATATTCAAGCGGAGTTGCTCTGGGTTCAGTACTAGGACATCTTTTTCTAATATACATAAATGACTTGCCAAACGGGTTTCCTTTGAAATCCTTTTTTCGCCAGTAACTTGAAGCTTAGGAAGGAGATCAGAAACCAGCAAGGCAATGTTTCCCTACAGGAGTGCGATGAATGTCATGCACAAATTCGCAACGCTATGGAACTGGAAACGTCACAGTTATGGAAGGATTTGGTCGCGTTTTTCCCTGAAGACTTAAAATTCTATGGCTACTGTGTCATAAACGCATTTCCTGGAAAGGCTGAATGAGTAACTCAGACGAATTTTTGAACAACTCGATCGGTTTCCACCATATTTTCAACAGCTTTATACGCCATCACTTAGAGTTGGGAGCAACAATCTTTGCTTTTCCTATCTGTGAAAAAACAAACTTAGCCTAAAACTCATCCGAAGGTGGTCGATCATGTGTTCGAGTCTAAAACATATGAAGAACGACTGGTAGCACCTGCCTTATATCTCCAGGGATGTAAAAGCTCAAGAGGGGATTTGGAAATGACTTACAATGCCCTAAACACTGCAGAACACCCACTCCGTCACTTAACCAATCTCAGACGACACGCACAATAATTAGGCACAAAACATAGAAGGTCAGCCACTAGGTGTAATATCTCCTTCCTGAGATTTGTCTAATATGAGAACGCTCTTTTTATAGAAGTGGTTCAGACTTCTACATCTGAATCCTCTAAACGCCGACTTGACACCCACTTACGGTGTGAACGGGAGCTCAACAACAACTAAAGCGCTTTTCCTTATTTTAACTGCCATCTTTTTCGATCTCTATTTGCTTAGAGTTTGGTAACAAAAATAACTGTGTTCCACTGCTACCAGACCAGGAGGCTAGTTAGGCAAAAGCATCCATTGTGTTAACAAGCATTCAGAGCTATGAACACGTTTTTCATAGTTTCAATAAGTTAATGGAGATTCCGAGAGGTTTTAGACAGCTAATAATTGTTCAGTTTTTAGTAAATCTGAAATCGATTACAGCAGACCTACTAAAGGAATGTAAACCAAAGATACAAAAAAAATTACAAGCAAGTCCAAAGTGCGCTCTTTGCCTCTAGGTCATCGTTTACTAAATTAAAACACTCTGCTGCATCTGACATCAGTAGCAAGAGCTTAAGAAACTGACAGCCTTTTTATTTTTGGCATCTAGTTTCCGGAGTTCGGTTTTCATCGTTTTCTTTGCTCCTGCAATGAGAAACAGCAAAATGAGAAAGGAGCCATGTTTAGGTAGCTGATCTTTTTTACTTGTCGCCTCTTACTTATTCCTACTGCATCTCGACCTTTGGGTTTTCTCTAACAGCGTGCAAGGCACATACTCTAGAGGAAAAAAAGTAGGGTGTAACCCAGCCTCAGTTCTCTCATATGCTACGCTGATGGGATTCCTTCGAAGTAACCACCATGCTGCAGGCAAGGTTGATTTCATTCCTGACCCACTTGGCAGATTATCCTAAACTGTCATCCCCCCTCTGTGATAGCCTGATGCAAGTAGGATCGGGCGCCTTGGTTTGTCGGAGCATATTCCCCTCTCTTGTGAGTAAATTTTTTTGTGGATCTCTATACTTTCTCGTGGAGATTGGAGCCCTTCATCAGTGCTGGAGGCGCAGCAATGAGTGATTCCATGCCAACGGTGGAAAATATCTAATGCACGGCATTTTGACTATGGACTGTTGCCAGTGTAGACGGTTTCTGTTCTTGATGACTCAAACTGCCAGACAGCAAAATTAGTGTCCAAGATGTTGCTGGTAGAACCATAGTCACGATACCTAGACACTTAGAAGATGCATTCACGAGTGCCGAATAGGATATCCCATCAGTCGATCGGATAAAGTCGAGATACACTCTCACAAAATATTAACAGTAATAATTTATTCCTGAATTAGCAGGTGCACATCACTTTAACAGATACGGTAGTGGGATATAGTGGTAAACAATCTGTGGCAATATTTTTTGTCATCTCTTTTTCACTACAGGCAGTGAACATCTCCGGTCTTAAAGAAAGAAGACTGCATCACATACAAACAGTGCATTTTGAGTTATACATTGAATTTTCGTTATACTTTCAGGTTATCCGGCAGAAATGAAAGCCATGCCTCACGAATATGTACAAGCATCCGTCTAAAACAAGGTAGAAGTAATTCAGCAAGTTCATTCTCATTAAAAAACTGGCCAAATTACATAAACGTTTTCACTTGAAAGATCACGGAGGGATGCACCACGGCAGATTCTATGTATTATTCAAAATCTTGTACCTCCAGGTTCATTAAAACGTCAAGATATACTTTGGTAACAACAGTAAAAATTGCTGATAACAATAGACCACCGCGCTTATGAAACGTTTTGTGTTCGTTTAGTCATGTTTAATTGAACGAATGTGTGGGTTCCGGAAATAGTGCGAAAAGTTACGATATTCATACCTGTGCTAGTCGACTTCCTTTTCGATATGAAGCGATTCGGGCTTGCAGTTTACTCCCTGGGCTGCCCGAAAGACTTGGCTGGTAGCTCAACTTGTCACCGAGGGCTTTTATGTCGCACTGGCTGCAGCTTATTTATAAGCCAGAAATTTTGATTCCTTGTATGATTGGGGCCACTTGAACCATACCTGGTGTTTGGTCTGAAGTGGCCTCTGTCCCACAACCTATCCACAAGTGTCTTGGCAACGACCTTTTTTTCTCCATTCGTTTCCAGCACTCACCGTTCGTAAGATTTCAGCCTTCAGGCTACGATAAACTCATCAGATGATGTCCCCTGTTCTCATAGTTGGCCTTGCTCTAGCAGGAAAACGTAGAGAATACTTCGGGTTGCAGAATCCACTTGCTATCATGGGCAAGTTAATTGCCACACAAAAGACTAGAGTTTCGTGTGAATGGGAGGAAGCATTTGTATCTTGCAATAGTCCAACTATTCATGAATCTCCTGCCTAATACTGGGTCCACCGACTCATTGACGCCAAACAGAACGACAGGGTTAATTATTCTTTTTTTTCGTGTTGATCCACGATGAAACACACCACTTTTTGACAGGTTTGGCTCACAGCTTGTTCTGGTTGTTGTTGCAGGTGATTTCAATGTACAGGTGGGTGGAGTGAGCGAGGCAGAAGGGCATTTAGTTGGCACTTTCGGAATCGTGATTGAAAGCACAGATAACGGCTATCGCCTACTACGGCTGTGCTCAAATAACTGCCTATTTTTAGCCAGTATAAATTTCAGGCAAACAAAAACACTGTCTGACGTGGAGCCCACCGAGCTCAACTCAGCGATGGACACAGATAGACCACATTGCTATCAGTCATCTCTGAAGAGGATCGGTGGAAGACTACCGCTGCCCTCTGAAGTACGCGTTTCGATAGCTACCAAGCGTTATCCTGAGTGCGTATATGCCTCAGTCTCAATGGACGTACGAAAAATTCGGCAACAAAACCACTGCCAGTGCCACGTGACAACGAGAACATCAAGGCCGCTTTCAGTGAGAAACTGGCTGGGCAGTTGTCGAACATAATACCATCACTCATCCAGAAGAAGCTTGGTGTTATCTCCAGTCTGCTGTGAAAGCAGCGCTGAAGACCGTAGCCGACTCCGAAATAGTAGCTAAGAGAGCCAGTGGATACCAGTAGCTGCTTCCGAATCAATGGCTATCCGTGAACTCATCCCTGCAGGCTCTGAGGACAATGAAGAACGAGCGCAACTTAAAAGTAGGTTGCGAAAAGTCCACACAGAGACCGCGAACAGTGGTGGGCAGAGAAGGCTAAAGAGATGAAAAAGGCAGTGGCGACAAGCAACGCTAGACAGCTATTTAGACCCATTAAGGAGGGAAGGAGGAACGGTCAGCAACGGTTAGGGAGACCGTAGCGGAGGACGAGCCGGCGACTAACTCACTGGGGAGACGACTGGAACGATAGGCAGAACACCTCAAGGAACAGTTTAACTGGCTTACAGCCAACGTTGCATTACCTGCCATCCAGTCAGATCCCAGTTGGAACATTGGAACAACACTTGCAGAAGTCAAGAAAGCTGCAGGTAACCTGAAACGAGGAAGGGCATTCAAACCAGATGGACTAACTCCTGAGGTGTACAGGGATGGTGGTAGAGTGCCACTAGTCAGGTTTGCCGAAGTGTTAACCAGTATGTGGGAATCAAATGCAATTCCCTCTGATTGGTCTCAATCACTGATTATTCCAGTCGTCAAGACAGGCGAGAAGTCTTCTTGTGAGAAACACAGAGGAATCAGCCTGACCAACACAATGTTTTAACTCCTAGATGCTGGAATTCTTCGACGTCTAAGAGGAGCTCGGGGACAGCAAGCCCGAGAAAATCAGGCGGGCTTTAGACACGACAGTGGCTGTATCGACCAAATATTCACACTGCACCAGGCTCTGAAACATCGGCACGTTAGCCGTAGCCCGACAACAGACGTATTCCTCCACCTGAAGGCAGCATCTGACTCCACTGATCGAGGAGTCTTATAGAAATGTCTCTCACTGAAGGGCATGTCGAGTAAGTACACAACTTCATTGAAGGATGTCTACTCGAACATCTTTGGGCCTGCCACAGCTTATGGTGAGACGTCCGGGGAGCTGTACTCGCCCAGTGGTGTTCGTCAAAAGCGGCCACTCTCTTCATTCTTATTCAGTTTTATCATAGATATTCTTTTGGAGGTCTCCCTCTCGTCACCTGACTACATAGAGGTTGGCCTAATCACGGGAGAAGTTCTGTTAGATTTAGAATACGCAGGTAACATAGTCCTGTTAGGTGAGTACGCTGAAAGATGCAGAGTCTTCTATACGCTCCAAGTGGCAATTTGAGAATGTTTGGGAAGCATTCCTTGCCATCTAAATGTGAACTGTTGCTCAAGGATTGGTCTCCAACAGTGCTACTGCTAACAATAGAGAGTGAAGTGGTTGAGTGTGTCGACCACTGCGCTTATTTGGGAAGTAGGGTCGGCCGTAGCAGCTCAGTTGCCGATAAAATCTCTGCATGAATAAAAACGGCTCGGTCGGCTTTTCCAACTTACACCACCTGTGGCGCCACTGTGATATCCAATCGTCTATTAAGGGTCGAGTGTACTGCACAGCAGTCCGGCTAGTTCTTCTGTATGGCTGTGAAACATGGCCGTTGAAAGTGGAAGATATAAGAAGGCTTCAGGTGTTTGACCACCGTTGCCTTCGTAGTATAAACCGTATTCCATGGTGTCACCACGTAAGTAATGCAGACGTCGGGTGCGAGGCCTTAGGGGGTAGAAGTAAATCAGTTGACGAAATTATGAACCTTCGCCGACTGAGATGGCTGGGACACGTATTACGTATGCCTAGTGGCCATCTGCCTCTTCACACAGTGTTGGCCGAAGCAGGTTCAGGCTGGAAAAAGGCCCGAGGTAGCCAGACCAAAACACGGCACCAGTGCATGAAGTCCCTGACTGTTGGTTTGAGCCGTATGGGGGAATGCAGACTAGGTGGTTGGGGTCCACGGGGCAAGAGGAACCAGTGGCTAGAGACTCTAGGTGATATGGTTGGGAACCGGTGTCAGTGGCGCAGATGTATACATATATTATCCTCACCTTAACGACGCTATACCGAATATCACCATCTTCTCATTCTTTTTCTCTCTTTTCTTACTTTATGCTTCTTTCGACCGAGTTTTCTTTTCTTCATCCTCCACTTGGCTGCATTTTTAGTTGGCGTACTAGAATGAGTTGTAGCAACTCGGACCGTTACGCAGTAATGCTTTGTCCTCTGTTGATTTGGATGGATGGATCGCCGGCAGCTACGATGTTCAAGGTGCCCCGTTTGTGTTTCTTTACAGACTTAAGGGACAGAATCACTTATCCCGGCCCTAGTTTTCTATAGCCAGGTGAGGAATACAAAAGTTGAGTTTGCGGTGGTTCTCGCATGTGCGAGCCTGCGGAAAGAGACAGATCTAGTTTCGCCCTCAGTTTCATTTGTATCCCTTTCGACACTTTCTCTACTGTATGAGAAACGGCTGACAACGATTTTTGCCCGGTGGAAAGAAGCGCTTTGGGGTCGTGTGTGTTAACTGTGACCAGATTTCTGCACTCTCAGATAACCAAGATCATTTACGTGATT